CAACAACCACTCGGCATCTTCGGGAAATCTCCTTCAAGCGAGAGTCTGATTACACCGAAGGAACCTTTAACGTGGAGCGGCGGCGCCCCTTCGTGCCTCCTTCGTAACTGGCGACGGAGCGGGGTCTCTAGAGCAGTCAGGTTCTCTTTCATTCTTCTCTGTCTCTTTCCTGCTCTGTTTCTTTCTTTCTCTATCTCTCTTTCTCTGTCTCTGTCTGTCTGTTTCTTTCTTTCTCTATCTCTTCTCTGTCTCTGTCTGTCTGTTTCTTTCTTCTCTGTCTCTGTCTGTCTGTTTCTTCTTTCTCTCTCTTCTTTTTCTGTCTCTGTCGGTCTGTCTCTCTCCCTCTCTCTCTTTCTCTTTTTTCTCTCTATCTGTCTCTTTCTTTTCTCTCTATGTATCTGATTTCACTTCTTTTTTTTCTCTCTCTTTCTCTTTATCTATCTTTTTCTTTTTTCTCTCTTCCTCTCCCTCACACTTATTCCTGCATTCTATTTTTCATCTGTCTCTATTTTCATATCCATTTCCCACCTCCTTTCCCTTGTTCGTATTCTCACATTTTCTTTTCCTGTTCCCTTTTTTCACCTATTTTTTCTCCTTCCTCCTCCTCTTATTTATCTTTCTGCTTTCTCGTTCCATTTTGATATTAGAGTTTAAAAGTGCTTGAGATAAAGGTATTCATGCAAAGTACTTCTTGCATGGACGTAAAATTTTGAGAACATATGCTTATGCAACGAATATCTTGTCTTCACTTAGCCTTTATTCATATCTGCAATTTACTCATTTATTTGGGGACTGAAAGTGAATAAGTTAACTCCTTTATTTATCAGATTAACTGATTTTTTTTTCATTTTTGTTTATCAATTCTTTATATTCTTAAATATTACGTTTTTAAAATGTACTGATTTTGTTTCCGTTTTGGAATATCTCTCCGATGTTGTTGGTGTTTGTTATCTATATATATTTCATTTTTCTTCTATCCATTTTTGGCGGACATAGGTAAGAATAGATATGATACATATCTATTCTTACCTATGTCCGTCTATCCTCTTTTTCATTTCATACATTTACTTTCCCGTAAGAGATGTCATCGAATAAATATAGACATGCCAAAGAAATATACAAAAATATGTTACATTTTCGTAGTTTTAAAGGATTTATGTTACGTATATTTTTGTCACTTTAAAGGATTTATGTTAAGTATTTTTTCGTCACTTTAAGGGTTTATATTAAGTATATTTTTGTCACTTTAAAGGATTTATGTAAAGTATATTTTTGTCCCTTTAAAGGATTTAAGTATATTTTCGTCTAAATAATTTATGTTAAGTATATTTTCTTCACTTTAAAGGATTTAAGTTAAGTATTTTTTCGTCACTTTATAGGATTTACACCTCAAAAAATTCAGAAGCAGACACCTGCCCAGGACAGGAGTCGCTGGATAAAAGGACGTCTCGCCAGGCAGACGGGGAGAGACCGAGCAGACAGGAGAGTTAAGGTGCTGTCACACTAGCACCTTTTCCGTCAATTTTTTGACAATTTTCTGAAATTTTGTCAATTTTTGAGCGGATTGTCGATTTTCCAGTCAGACGATAATGATCGTTTCCGTCTGAAAACCTTCCCGTCAACTTTTTCAGTCGAACAAAGTCAAATCAACAGCAATATTCAAGAATGTTTTTTTTATGTTAAATATTATTCATGTTAAATAAAATTGTTAAAAAATTGACAGAAAAAGTGCTAGTATGACAGCGCCATAAGAGCAGTCCCAGGACAAGGCAGCTCGCCCTCCGCCCCCAGCACCCGGGTCACGGGGTCTCTCTGGGGTCACACTTATGTCAAGTATATTCCCGTCGCCTAAAGGATTTATATTAAGTATATTTCGTCGCTTTAAAGGATTTATATTAAGTATATTTTCGTCGCTTTAAAGGATTTACGTAAAGTATATTTTCGTCGCTTTAAAAGATTTGTGTAAAGTATATTTTCGTCACTTTAAGGGATTTATATTAAGTATATTTTCGTCCCTTTAAAGGATTTACGTAAAGTATATTTCCGTCACTTTAAACTATTTATGTTATGGACACTAATTATGTTTGTATTAATAATCAGATTATACGTATGAGTCACTGGGGAGTTGTGTCAGCATCCGGGACCGAAGATTCAAGGAAAGGTAAATAGGAGAGAAGCAATAAATTCGGAGGATTGGAAGAAACGAGGAAATTGAAGGATAAGGAGGATGAAGAAGGAGAAGAAGAAGTAGAAGGAGAAAAAGGGGGAGAGGAAGAGGAGGAAGAAGATGAAAAAGAAGAAGAAGAAAAGAAAAAGGAAAGAGAAAGGAAGAGGAGGAAGAGGATGAAAAAGAAGGAAAGGAGAAAGGAAGGGGAGGAAGAAAATGAAGAAGAAGAAATATAATAAGAAAATAGGAGAGGGAGAGGAGGAAGAGGATGAAGAAGAAGTAAAAGAAGAAAAAGGGGAGAGCAAGAAGAAACAGAAGAGGATGGAGAAAGAAAAAAAGAAGAGGAAGAAGAAAAGACGAGATGAGGAAGAAAAACAGAAGTAGAAAGAAAGGAAAAGAATAGAATAAAAAAAACATCGGAACAAGAAGTAAAGAAAAGAAAGTCGAAGAAAAAAACAAAAGAAGAAAAGAAAAATCAGAAGGAGATGAAGACAAAGAAGAAGAAGAACAAAATAAAGAGCGAACAAGAGAGAAAAAAAGGATGGAAGGAGGTACCGAAAGGCAGAGAAAGAAGTAGGATAGGGGAGGGGGGGGGAGGTGTCATGGGGGGGGTGCTCAGATCTCAGCTAATAAGAGAGCGCAAAGGCAAGAGAGCACGCAAGCCCCCCCCTGCCCCCTCCCCTCCCTCCAACCCCCTCTAAGGTCGGAAGATTGCGGCGAGACGAGAGCAGGAGGGGAGGAGGGGGAGGAAGAGGGAGGAGGAGAGGGAGGGGAGGAGGAGGGGAGGAGGAAGAGGAAGAAGAGGAGGAGGAGGAGGAGGAGAGGAGGAGGAGAGGAGGAGGAGGGAGGAAGGAGGAGGAGGGAGAAGGAGGAGAGGGGAGGGAGGAAGAGGAGGGGAGGGAGAGGAGGAAGGAGAAGGAGGGGGGGAAAGAAGGAGGAGGAGGGGAGAGGAAGAGGAGGGAGGGGAGAGGAGAGGAGGAGGAGTGGGAAGGAGGAGGAAGAGAGAAGGATGAGAAGAATGATGATGATGATGGGGAGGAGGGTGGGAGAGGGATGGGATGAAAGGAGGGGGAAGGGGAGGGGAGGAGGAATGAGCGAGAACGAGACACTAAGAGACCAAGAAACCGAGAGAGTTAGAAACCAAATGAACAAGAAAAAAGAGAGCTTTAAACCGAGAAACCGAGAGAGCTAGAGAACGAGAGAGTGAGAGACGACGAGACCGAGAAACCGAGAAACAGGGAGAGCTAAAAAAGAAAAAGGCAGAGAAACCGCGAGAACAAGAGACATAGAAACCGAAAAAATCGCGAGAACAAGAGACCTAAAAACAGAAAAAAACAGAAAAACCGCGAGAACGAGAGGCCTAGAAACTAGAAACAGAAACCGCGAGAACGAGAGGAGAACGAAAGAAAACGAGAGAGCGAACGAGAGAGCTAGAGAACGAAAGAAAACGAGAGAGCTAGAGAACGAGAGAGAACGAGAGAGCTACGAGAACGAAAGAAAACGAGAGAGAGAACGAGAGAGAACGAAGAGAGAACGAGAAGAGAGAGAACGAAGAAAACGAGAGAGCCGAGAGAGAACGAGAGAGAACGAGAGAGCTAGAGAACGAGAGAGAACAAGAGAGAACGAAGAGAACGAGAAACAGAGAAACCGCGAGAACGAGAGAGAACGAGAACAGAGAGAGAACAACGAACGAGAACAGAGAACGAGAGAGAACGAGAGAGAACGAAGAGAACAGAGAGAGAAACGAGAAGAGAACGAGAGAGAACGAGAGAGCAGGAGGGGCAGAAGGAGCCGAGCGAGAGCCAACCTCGCTCAGCGCTGATCGGCTGCACGTCACCTTTGATTGACAGGTAGAACGTGATTTACGACCGGCTCGACGAGGGGCTGGAAGGGAGGGGAGGGGGAGGGGAGGGGAGGGAGGGGTAATAGTAGAGGATGAAGAGGATGAGAGGAGAGGAGGAGAGGAGGAGGAGGAGAAAGAGGAGGAGAGAAAGAAAAGGAGGAAGGAGGAAGAGAGAAGAAGAAGAGGAGGAGAGGAGGAGAGGAAGAGGAGGAGAGAGGAGGAAGGAGAGAAAGAAGAAGAGGAGAGGAAGAGGAGGAGAGAGAGAAGGGAGGAGAGAAGAGGAGAGGAGGAGAGGAGAAGAAGAGGAGGAGAGGGAGAAAGAAGAGTAGAGAAAGGAGCAGGAGGAGAAGAGAAGATGGAAGAAGAGGAAAAGAAGTGGAAAAGAAATATGAAGGAGAAAATAAAAGAGGAGAAGAGGAAGAATAAGAAAAGGAAGGAAAAGAGGAGGAGAATGAAAAAGGAAAAGGAGAAAGAGTAGGCAAGATGTGGCAACGCTGCAGTGCTTCAGGATCTGTTGTTTTTGTTGATAAGTCTCGATAATAATACCTGATACTCGCCTTATAATTTACCTTCCATTGTTTTGCTGTTATTTTCGGAAAAAAAGCTTTTGTCAATGTTATCATTTTTATCGTTAATTATTTATCATACACAATACTGGTCACATACACTCCAATACTCTGCTGACGCGTGGATAAATTCTTAACATAATTTCCAACGCAAAGAAAAAGCTATCTATAATCCTCCATTTCCCTTGTCATCTGCACCAAGCTCTTAATTAAATAAATGCTTTCACAACACACACCGCTTAATTATGTTTGGCAACCCCACTGACATCAAATTTAAAGTTTTTTTGTTTTTTGTTTTGCTTGAAGGCGGGAACCACAATAACATAGCGAAAAGATGCTAACTTAGCAATAAGACGCTATGTTAGCGGTGATTTAAGTCCGCTAGATTTAACGTAAAATGAAAGTTCATTAATCTAATATAAAT